CTTGACCGCCAACAACTCTCGGTTACCAATGTCATAGTTACGTTCGGCAGGTGATAAACGATGGGAGAAAAACGCGCAAGGATGCATCTTGTCGTCCGAGGAAGGGCGCTGGGATAGCACCACACCTACCCCCACCTCTGACGCATCGACCTCCACCACGAACTGACGTGTGGAGTCGGGGGTTACGAGAATGGGAGCCGAAACAAAGCGACTCTTGAGGTTGGTAAATGCAGCTTCGGCTGCACCAGACCACCTGAACGTAGTCTTAGTGGAGGTCAAGGCAGTCAGAGGAGCGGCTAGTTGGCTGAAATTGCGAATGAAATGCCGGTAGAAATTGGCGAACCCCAGGAACCTCTGCAGGGTCTTACGGGACCCTGGGGTTGGCCAATCCACCACAGCCTTAACCTTGTCGGGATCCATGCGCATTCCCTCGGACGAGATGATGTACCCCAAAAACGGAACTGACTGTGCATGAAACGCGCACTTCTCCGCCTTGACAAAAAGCCCATTCTCAAGCAGCCTCTGCAGCACTCGTCTGACGTGCTGAACGTGTTCCTGGAGAGAAGAGGAATATATCTATGTCATCCAGGTAGACATATATGAACTGATCAACCATGTCCCTCAGCACGACATTCACGAGTGCTTGGAAAACCGCGGGGGAGTTGGATAACCCGAAGGGCATAACAAGATATTCAAAGTGCCCTCTGGGGGTATTAAACGCGGTTTTCCACTCATCCCCCTCCCTTATGCGGACCAAATGATAAGCATTACGCAAATCTAGCTTGGAAAAGATGGACGCCCCCTGCAACCGCTCGAAAGCTGACGACATCAACGGCAAAGGGTAAGTATTCTTTACCGTGATGTCGTTCAGCCCCCGGTAATCGATGCATGGTCGCAGAGAACAGTCCTTTGCCACGAAAAAGAATCCTGCCCCAGCGGGAGAAGAGGAGGGCCGGATGAGCCCGGCTGCTAGAGAATCAGAAATATATCTCTTCATGACCTCCCTTTCTGGAACAGAAAGCGAATATAACTTGTCCTTAGGCGGAGACATACCTGGCACTAGATCTATGGCACAGTCATAGGGACGATGCGGAGGAAGAGAAGCAGCCCGGGACTTACTGAACACTTCCTTCAGGTCAAGGTACTCCTCGGGCACGTTAGACAGATTCACCGGCTCATTCTGCAACAAAGAAGAAGACACAGACGAACAAGCAGACATCAGACAAGAAGCATAACAAGGTTCACTCCACGCCGATATGGAGTTACGACCCCAATCCACCCTGGGACCATGTTTAACCAGCCAGGGATGACCCAGGACAATAGGTACCCGTGGGGACTCTGTGAGCAGAAAGGGGATCTCCTCAGAATGATTGCCTGAGGTTATGAGGGTGATAGATCCTGTAGTGTGTGATACTGGGAAGGTTATGTCCATTAAGTGCGTTGACCGAGATCTGGTGGCAGAGAGGAACTATGGGGATTTGAAGGTGGGATGCCAGATTGTGGTCCATGAAATTCCCCTCTGCTCCGGAATCCAGCAGGGCTTGGCAGTTGTGGAATCGGGCTGCCCATTGTAGTCTTACCGAGAGGAGAGTTGAGGACGAGGATTCTTCCAAGGAAATTCCACCCGACAGTAACCTCGATTCTACTGTCGGGCTGGGCCTTTTACTGGACAGTGAACCAGAACGTGCCCCTCAGAGCCACAGTATAGGCAGAGTCCCATAGCTCTCCGGCGATTACTCTCCTCCCGGGAAAGCCGAGCTCTACCCACCTGCATGGGTTCGTAATTGGATGTGGGACTGACCATCATACTGGAGTTGGCCGCGTAGAAAACCGGAAGTTCCGACCTAAGGGTGCAACGGCCTTGTTGCTCACGCCGCTGAAGACGCGTGTCAACGCGAATGGCTAGGTCGATCAGTCCGTCAAGACCAGAGGGTAACTCCATAGCAAATATCTCCTTCTGAATACGGTCAGCCAACCCATGCAGGAACATGTCCCACTGCGCCTCTTCGTTCCATTTACATTCCGCCGCCAGGGTCCGGAACGCGATGGAATAGTCAGAGACGGTTCTGTTCTCCTGCCGTAGTTCGGCCAACATGCGTGTGGCCTCACGACCTGTCAACGCCCGATCAAAGACCCGTCTCATCTCCTGAGAAAGGGCCTGGAACGAAGTGCAACAGGGATGTTTATTCTCCCACACCGCCGTTCCCCACAGACCCGCGCGTCCTGACAGCCGTGTCAACACTAGAGCCACCTTTGACTGTTCTGTGGCGAACGTCACTGGTTGGAGAGAGAAAAACATCGAACACTTAGTCAGAAAGGCTCTACAGTGGTTAGGCTCACCCACATGTCTCTGGTGTGGGTAGACGTGGCTCATGCTGACGTACGATGCCTGTAGTTGTAGAGGGAACTGGCGGTGGGAGTGGCGCAGTGGGTAAGCTCAGCTGTTGTAGTTGGGTGGTGAGCTCGGACACCTGCGCTACCAAAGCTTGCACCGCCCGTCCCGTAGCTAGCATCTGCTCCTCCTGACGATCCATGCGTGTATTGTTGTGTGATAGAAAGTTCTGCAGATCCGTAGCATTCGCTGAATCCATAATGTGGTCAGATCGTTCTGTCAGGGAGAAAGAATGAGGATTCAGTAGCGAATGTTCAAAACAACGTTTATTTGGGAATACCCAACAAGGAAGATGACGAGAGTCAGATAGGTGAAGGGTTGAGGTAACTCCGGGTAGCGCAGGGACACCAACGGGCAGCCGATGGTCGAGGTATCGTGCAGCGAAGTCCTCGGCAAGGAGAAAAGGAAACTCCAGGAACTGGTCAGGAACAGAGAGACACGAACTGAACACGGTGACAACATGAAACGATCTGACAACACAGGACAGAAAACACAGACATTAAATAGGCCAGCTGATAAGCCACAGCTGGCGCTTAATCAGCTGATGGCACTGATCACCAGCACACAAACCACACCCACACCCACAATGACACGGAGAGAGCTAGAATGAGTCAGTGAGCCCATGAACCGTGACAAATAATTGTAATTAATTATAATTAATTGTAATTATTTATATACATTTCCCTTTTGAGCTATTTTGCTATAATACGAAGGTCTCTGGATATGGAGGACATGGTGACAGCATTTGCTGTAGCTAAGGTTCGTAAGCACCATTTTTAAGGTGACAATCCGTTACTGTAAATATGAAGATTGTACTGTATCTTCAAGATTGTACTGTACAGTATTGTATCTTCTGTCATAAAGATGATCATTGATATTTTGTTAAAGAATAAGCACTTTGTTTTAAAAAAATTAACAATTTATGTTATCTATTATATGTGTTTTAACTACTTTTTGTTTGTTGTATAAATATATATCTAGGTAACGAAGATATATTAACAAAATAATCTTTTAGAAGGGCCTCGTTTATTAATTTTGCCTGGGGTCCCCACTTCATCTTGTTTCGCCTCTGGCTATTACACACACGTCCAGGGACAATTTAGTTTTCAGTTAACCTAACCTGCATGTCTTTGGGCTGTGGGAGGAAACCGGAGTACCCAGGGTAAACACAGGGAAAACATGCAAACCCCACAGAAAGGCCTCATGTCCCTGCTGGAGCTCGAATCGGGGACCTTCTTGCTGTGAGACCACGGTGCTAACCACCAAGCCACTGTGCTACCCCCAGTCCTATCAGTCAAGACCATAAATGTTCTGTATCTTGGCTGAAACTCAAATAGCACACAAGCATACTGCTCTGGAGTCATACGCTAGTGTACTATTTCAAATTCAACCCCTGTTTTAACTCTCAGCATAATGAGGCACAGGTGAAAATAACAAGCTGACTGATGAACAGATTTGATTGGTTGTCCAATATCACCGAGTGATTTAAAAGTGAGTACAAATACGACAGTATGTCGTAGAAGCGAGCACGCAGGGATGTTTCTCTTGTTGCTCCATACCGGGGCTGTCATGTCAAAAAACAGGTTAGTTATGATAAAGGTGTTAAGTGCAGAGTAATGCTTCAACCATGTGATGCCTTGCATGAGTCATTTATTTTTTTCTCATCTCCTAAAAGGGTGGAAGATATATTCTGCCGCTCATTATAATGGGAGCTCCAGTGCGAATGTCTTGTCCTGTGAGTCCTCGACTCTCTACAGTGTCCTGCCTCTCCACCGGCATGATTGCCACACTTGGGGTCAGAGCAGATGTTGTTAAAGTTCTAGGCAAGTCCCCTAATTTGCATTCAATCAAAAAGCTGAAAAGCTTAAGCTTGACTTGTTTTCTGCTTTTAGTTGATGGATCATGGCAGCCTCTGCTTCTAATGTACACTCGATGCTCCTTCACATTGGAGAATACTGATAGTTCAGTGGTTGTCACTGCACCATTCACAGGAAGCTGTTGGCTAATGACGGTAAAAGTAGTGCATTTGACAGGACTGTCATTCATGGCATGTCTACTTATACTAGGTTTACACTAATTGATGTTCATATCTTCCTCAGGACACTGAAATGCAACTCCCTTTGATGTATGGTGACCGGGAGGTAACTCTTTCCTGTCCTCTGACACGGCCAACGATAGCTCCAACCATGCCTGCTGACCCAGACATGCAACAGATGTTTGACCCTTTCCCTTTTGGAAGACCCTGGTGGTATCCTCCATATTATCCTGGTGTACCTGCTACCCTGCCTCCCACTGTGCCACCTACAACAACTACAACTCCACCTTTTCAATGTCCTTTCCAGCAACACATGTACCCTCAGATGTATCCCAGGCCAGTGTTTGATCCATACTTTTACTCTAGAGGTGACCCAGCTGCTCCCCCAGCACCACAACAACCTCAACATCCCTGGTACCCAAACTTCCCTCCTTATATGAATGGCTTCCAAAGCCCAGTTGAAGTGACCATTCCTGCAACGACCACAACTACACCTGCCTCAGACCAGCCTGAGAAGCATCCAATATTCCCACCGTTACTCAAGTCTTATATGCCTCCAGTTGTGGAATACCCTTTCATGCCCAAGTATCCTAAGGATCCAGTCTTTGGTCCCCGCAGCCCTAAATCAGTGTCTTATAATGCACAGTTATCCTCGGTCTACAGGCCTTAAAGGTTTGTTTAAAGTGAGATGAGTGTGGAGGTACTCTGAAATGGCGTTGCTTTCTCTCTGGATGACTCCAGTGACATCAGTATGTTTCTCTTCAGCTTCATAGAAGGCTAATAAAACTTAATGAGACTTCATGTTGCTTGCTGTTGTGTTTCGGGGGGGGGGCTTTTTTTTTTTTTTTTGGGGGGGGGGTAAATGTAAGTTTGGTTTGATATGCTTCATGGTGGGGGGCTCTTTTGTGAGCTTTTGAAAACTGCTTTCAAAGTATACTATTGTCTCAAACTACAAACATGAATTTTTAAAAACCATAATATGCATTTAGTCCATACACATGCATGAGTACTTGACAACCATGATACAAATTTAGTTTTTTTTTTTTTTTTTTGGTCTGAACCTTTTTCAAAAATGCTAAGGGAAAAACACTGTGCAAATGTGCCCTTAAGCCATTTGTACAGCCTCGTCTGTCACAACATTAATTATGGGACCAAACTGGTTGGGTTTCAGCTGAGAAACCTCTTGCTTTACCCTGCCCTCACTGCTTTATAATACTTGCCTGTCCCTTGATATACTTTTGGGCTAAATTCACCTTGGCCCTTCTTACTCAGAGGGAGGAAACCTCTCTGTGGCTCTCGCTTTGGTCACTTGCTTTGTTCCTGAATGAATCAGCTGTTTAATGAATCCATTAAATTGTGTTTTCATTACTTGTGCATTCTGTTCCGTTCTTTGCTTTTCCTTGTGTTTTAGCTCTACCCCTTTAGGATATGAGCGAGGGGTGCAAGGAAAGTAAATGAGGACAGATGAATTGCAGGAAAACCTATTTGTACAGGGGAGATCAACATTAGAGAACACTATAAATTCTTGATTTTTTTCTAAAATGCTGTTAATCTTCATCGCTCAAAATGAGGAATATTAACTGTGAGTATACCACTGTTATACTAACACGTTTGACAAAATAACCGAGGCATTTCAACAAAACCCTTTATTTTGAAGGGGTTACAGCTGTGAAAAAATAGTTAGAATTTTCACTGCACTAGTGTGATCTTGGTCCACTCTTCTTCCATTCTCTTCCATATAGTTGGTAACTGTAGTGGGTTTCTTAGCCACAACTTTGTTGCCAAGAATTTTCCAGAGATTTTCAGTTGGGTTTAGATCCCTGGGCTGGCCATTTCATTATTTCAATGTTCTTGAAAACTGCTTTATCCATTTTGCAGTGTGACGGGCATTGTCCTGCATGAAAATTTCAGGCTATTGGGAGATGAACGCAGGAAAGGAACTGCATGTTGCTGAAGGAGGATCTGATAAACATTTACATTCATCCTGCCATGTAGCTGTATAAAAGGCCCAACTCCTGCTGCATGAATGAATTAATTAGTGTCATTGTAAAGCTGCAATGTTCTAGAAATCTCAGATTTGGAATAACTAGCTTCTTTTGCAATGCTGAAAGAGTCATCCCTTTGGCCTTCATCTGGACCACCTCCCGTTGCAGGGTTTCAGAGTGGCCCACTATCTTGCTATCTCAGTGAAAATTAGAGGAATGCTGCCAGTTAAATAGGGTTTGTCATATAATTAAGGATATTAGCACCAGGTTCTCAAATTTTTATGAGTTCTTATACTGTACTTGAGAATACATTTATGAAATATGCTTTAAATACTATCCTTTTACTCCTGTTAGGATAACTTCAAATAGGACCAAGGAGAGACATTGAAATTTAGGAAATTGTAGGTTGTTCTCTAATTTTGATCTACACTGTATATTGGAATATTCTTAATCAGTTCAAAGCATCATCAGGTGCACTCAAAGCATCTGCACTTCTTTTGTTGTTCCGAAGTGGCATTGCTTCATTGATACTAGAAGATAATCAAATGACTTCAGTGTTTCTATTTCCTTTTTCAGGTTCATACAGTATAAACCCAATGAAGCTTCATGAAACACCAACCACTTTAGGCAAAATAAAAGAACTTTGGAGTGCCGATTTATCACAGTTTCTATAGTGTCTGCAACTCCATGCTTGACTGTTTTTATGTCAAGCATGGAGTTGCAGACACTATAGATCTCAGCCATTCTCTACCAAATAATGGTGGGGCATCACTGTTAACCACATACAGTGGCAATCGCGCAGACTGATTATTTAATTTTACCGCTACATTGATGACCCCTACTGGTGCTAGTGCTTCTCCAGTGTATGTTTTTAAGATTATGTGGTCGGCTGCAGTGGAATATGCTGCAAGTCATTAATATATATTTTTCCTTTGATATTAAGGACACTGCAGCACCTGTATCCAATTCCATCTCAATAATTTTTCCTTCAATTTGTGGAGTTATACAAATGTGTGCGAGTTGCTCTCTTTTGGTTATCATATACAGTGACATTTCCTTCTCTGTATCTGTACTCGACTCACCACTTTGTTTGCCTCCAGCATCCAGATGATGTAGGCTACCCATGTCTTATCATTTTTACTCTGTCTTTTACATGGCTTAAACTTTTTCTCGTGCTTTCTCTCTCTCAAAGTTTCTTTTATTGCACATGCGTCCGATGTGGCCTTTCTTTCCACAGGAATGGCAGGCTTGATCTTTGTACCAGCAGTCATCATCTGTGTGGTTCATTTTCCCACATCCATAACAGCAGAAACGGCGAGAAAGTTCGTGGCAGCTGCCATCTGGGGATGCCACCGGAAGTGGCGCTGCGACCTGCCGCTGCCAGGATAAACGAGTCATAGTCGTCTGGGTTTTGAATCGAAGATGGTCGTAATCCAAATTTTCTGTTAGTATAGATGGCTGTTTTATTATCCTATAAACATTCAGTGGAGCTGCTAGTTGGAACCCGGACAGACAGAGCTATCGGGCGCGAAGAACGTAACCGTTAGAACGAAGAACGAAGAACGTAACGTTAAACATCGGTCCGACGGCAACGTCGTGTCCCTGGCCAAAAATAGTAGCGGTAGGATGGCACAAAATCATTTAAAATATGTAACAGAACATTTCAAATGCATTCAGATACGTTTGTAATTGTCTACAAATAACGTCAAAAGACGTCCGTTCAACTTTCATTTTGGAACTATTTTTCAACCATGACGGGACGTGTCGGAGGGACGTCTTTTCAACGGTAGAGTGTATATGTTACATTATGCCAGTAGGTGGCGACCAGTGACTGTTAAAATGTATTTTATGTCCGAATCATTCAAGAGATTCGTTCAAAAACTCTGGACGAAACAAGTCTTCATTCATTTATTTCAATAATTAGTTTTTAAATAAAAAAATTTAAATAGACTCATTTATAACATTAAATAAAACATTTTGTCAAATTAGCCTACATATTATCATATGACTCATCACAGCTTAAAAAATACATAGGCTATACATCTGGCATCTAACTAATATTATTAGTAGCATACAGCTCAACCCCCTTGTTTACACTGCATACGGTTACATTACGGCAAACATTGTGTGTAACACAGAAAGTCACATGGGTTTAGTACAAAAGGAGGATTTATATTTGTGTGAACTATTCCTTTAAAGGGGTTATATGATGCTTTTTTAAAGACTAATATTTCCACATAGTGACCTAGATATGTGGGGGCATGTTAGAACGAGCCGTTTTAGGGGGGTGTGGCAGAGTCTTAACTTTGATAAAGAATATCTCTTTGGTTTTGATACTTTAGTCTTTGCAACTTCAGGGATCTTATCTATTCACGAACAGCTTGTAACACTTCAAAGAGAAAGGAAAACTTGAAATCGCATCATATGACCCCTTTAAGCGGAAGTATGAGTGCAGCATTTTGATAACCACTGACTAAGTTCTGCTTTTGACCCTCTGATGTGGTCACTCCGTCATATCGTGCCACGCTCCCTCACGCGTTGTGAGCGCGCCGCTGACGTCACCGTGGGAGTGTTCCATCGGGAGAAATTAACGGACATCAGCACAATTCTCTCTCAGCTCTTATGTAAGTTGTAACCGCAAAACGCGCACGCTTTTGCCTTCCATACATATACAGCGTTAACTCGAAAACGTCGCCGATATGTTGTAGTTCGGATTGTAGGGCTGGGCACAGTCGTTCAGTTTGTTGGCTGAGTTGTTAGCGAGCTAGTCGGCTTTAGCCTGTGTTTCTGATGACGTTAGCAGCCTAGCAGTGCGCTGCTCGCCTAGAGCACGCCGCGAGATCAGGTGCAGCAGGTCAGACATCACCAAAACATCTCACTGCTAACCGCTCCTAATCACACAGATCTAATATATTGAATGTACACTTTGTTAAGTGTCATATGAATACAATACAAAATACAGTCCATAGTACAGAGTATTGCATTGTAGCATACATTCCTATAAAAATAAACAACGGTGTTATTGGGGATTTGAAAATTCACTACTGCAGTAACGTTAGCTTAAAAAACACTTTCAATTTATTATTCAAAAACCTAGATGACTGAAAAAAATATGAAAACTATCTTCGAGAATAATTATGCCCATTTTTTGCTTATGAATACTACATGTTGCTAATAAAATAAATTCAAGACCTCAATCGTTTTGTTTTCGTAAGATGAAAATATCTTTCATAAGCATAAATACGTAATTTACCAAAGAGAATTACAACCAAAAGAGTTGTAAAGTTTTTTTTTTTTAAGTTGTAAATCTTAAAGTGGACCTGGAAGATCTGAAAGGAATCAACCAGGCAATTATCCACTTGATATTATATAATTATGTAACTTATATCTCTATCAAACCAATATGTCAAAATAGATTTGTAATAGAATTGTTATATTTAAATGAATGATTCAATTATTATTTATTGTGGAAATGGTTCCACGTTAGGGGTGCTTGTTGATAAAATAAGGATAATATAAGTGATCATTTCGAATTGGTTTAATCACAAATCAACAGGAATCGCAAGCTACCCACATGCATGTAAATATATTGTATGTATGCTGCTGATGCGTGGTGCCAGCCAAACAAGCTCATTGGCGTGATCAGATGCTGATGCTGTCGGCTGTCTGTTTGTATGACTTTGACAGCCTACGATGTAACTAGAAGGGTTGGTCGTCCTTCCTTCCGCTCGAGCGGTTTGAGCGCAATGTTTCCGATGTTTTTTTTAATCCGTCTCTGCTGATGATCGTGTGCAGCGGCGCGTTATATCGACCATC